ACAACAGATTTTGCCTGCGCCTTTATTTCGCTGGCTGCTTTTCAGGAGATAAGACTTGTCGCGGCATTTTAGGCGGAAACTAGTTCGCAACCTTGAAACTGCCAAAAACCATGTGACAAGAGCCATAGAACTGGGGATTCTCCTTTGAAAACCAATCCACAGAGTGAATGCCCTTCTGTCATATATTCCTTGTCTGAGCCTTGCTCCCGTCCGCCGTCGGTGGCCACTTTCCGGGCCCGGCTGTCTTCGAATGACTGAGCGCGAACTGATGGTGTGGCTGCTTTGTTGCATGTTTCCGGATCAGCATTGCTACTAATCGGGATGTAAAACATGTTTTGGACACCTGAAACAGTACCTTTTTCCGAATTATCTTTCCTTACACCACACCACCGCAGAGAAATTCCGCTGGGGAGCTGCCTACTTTAGGTATAAATTGGCCGGTACCAATTAGGTATAAATTGACATTTAGTTGTCCGTCATTTAACGTAGATGGCTTGATCTGCTTTTGTGTGTAGGCAGGGGTACCCAGAGCATTGCTAAGAGGAACACATGGTTGACGAATGCCCCCTTTATGAGAACCCCCACACAAAAAAGTATCCCCGGCTATGGCTTACTTGTTAGCCAAGGATACGGTTTTCTTCGTTTCATTTTTATTTTCACGTTGCTACCAGAACAGAAACCAGAGGCTACCGTGAAATCAATTCTGTTTGCATTTTTAACACGCGCCCGGGTGGCCTGCTAGATACCTACTACTAGATAGATAAAGGTCACATGTTCAGATAAGGTCGGTAGCCTTGTTTGACCTTTTGAAGGTCATGGTGACCAACATCATACAAGACTGCTCTGAGTTTTGCATTTGAATAAGCGAGAAAGATTACGCTAGGCAGTGTGTTTCTAAAAATAAAAAAAATGTAGGCCCAGGTCATTCTAGGCCAGTGATCTATTCTGACCTCTAACAAGTCAATGGAAGATGTATGATGCGGTCCCTGCCGTCAATAAATTCGAAGTGAGCGCCAGAAACATCCCATACAGCAAGCCCTAAAGTAATAAAAAAGGTTGGTTTTGACCTTGGTCTGACCTTTATACCTGACCTTAGGTCAACGTTATTTACTCATTAAATGTTTGTGTTGCCTAAGAAAGCATCTTAGAGATGTGCGGCTTCTTCTTACACTCCATTGTTGCATCAGATTGAGCGATTCCCTAGAAGCTGACTTCGCTGAAACCACAGCCTGACTTTAACCTGCGATGGGTAGCGGCCCTACAATGTGCATCTATTTTTTGATGCCAACGATCCGCTAATCAACTGTCTAAAGCTATGCAAAACAGAGCGCGGCTGTGCCGCGCCATTCGGAACCAGTCTGGAAAAAACCTTTGGGGGGGGGGGCGAACCAACTTGCCCCCCCCCCCTCCGAGCGCGTGTCAAGGTCAATAAACTGCAGAAATCAGGCGTTTAGCGACCGCATGGAATAGCTCACCAGTGTCCGTATTTGCAATGGCTTAATAGACTCTGCATAAACCGATAGAATTCAAAAGCCTATTCATAACGTTTTATCTGCCTTCTACAGACATTGAGGACACGGCGAAAGTAGATTGTAGAGCGATGTGTTTCATCGAAATTTGAGGATAAAAAATTGATTGCAGATCGAGTGGTCAGCAATGTGTATTAATATCGCCAAGCCATGTTTGCTTGGAAATATTAAGCATTCATCCAGAATCAATTGGTGATACAATCTATATAACGTGGTTTTTAGCATGCACGCTCACAAGTCCTCGCAACAAAAACCTCGACACCAGGCGTTGCAGTCTCCAAAGTCCGTGGCTCAATACTTGAATCGGTCAGTAATAAAAGCTATGTGACGTAAGTTTGAGCATGCGTACTCGCAAATCTTACTTTAAAAGACCTCGATGCCAGACGCTGCAGTCTCCATAGGCCGCGCAGCGTCGGCTCCACAGCTGATGCTGAGCCGTGGCTAACGGGTTGGCGAAAATGATGACGCTTCTAAAAGCATAGGCGGATCCTGGGGGGGGGGGGGGGGGGCACGGGCCATGGCCCCCCCGAAAAACTACGAGAGTATGTTTTGACTCCCCCAAAACATTCCCAGAACTTCATAAAAGTTAAGTCTACTTACCACATGCTTTAACTTTAACTGTCTTAACTGTTTTGTTTCAACTTCTGTTTAAGATTCAAAAGCATTTCGGTGCTTAAATAGTGTCTCTACTAGGTGCTCTCGAGAGGCACCATGCACTGGACCTCGGATCCCACACCAGCCAGCTGGCGATGATTGATTGCCCCCCCCCCCTCCCCCCAAAACTTCAGGCTAGATCCGCTCCTGTCTGAAATAAGTACCTTTCAACGATTCAGTACACCAAATCTTACATCTGCAAGGCAGTCTGGCCGCCCATTTTACGTGTGCGGTTTTAAGACTGATGATAAGGGCGGATTGGCCCTTAAAGCACCGCGAAGTGGTGCTGGAATCTGGTGGTGGAACTAGAAGAGAAAAGGCAGATCCTCTAATTTTCGTGTTTTTGTAACTAGTAATTTGCCCAGAAGACAGATTAACACGGTGCCCGCGGTCTGTTGGCACTTGCAGTGGCCGACGCCGTTCGGTTTTACGGAAGCTGCAACCCAGATCATCGCTGTCCTTGCTCTGCAGGTTGCGGGCGGGCATGTTCAAAACTCTTGATGCACTTTTTTCATTAATCCACTCTGAAAAAATAAACGTTCATAGGCAAACATGGGATCGCCTTGTTCGCGTTTTTTTTATAATTTATTTCGACCTACTCTGCTCAACAATAATGAGACCTCTACTCCATTTATCAATAATGAGGCCCCATACTTCCTTCCGGGCGGGGGCCCCTTGAGTAGAACACCAAAGGCACGCTCCCAGTCCCGGTCAATAGCAGAAGGGTCACTCCGTCCCATCGCGAAGCGTCTTCTGGCTGCCATTCTAGGGGCATGGGGCGGGATCTCCCGGTCGATCCGGAAGCAATTGGAAGGATATATTATATCACAATGTTCCCCTCCCTGACACGGGAGGCCTTCTGACCCACGCAGTTGGCCCCGGATCAGCACAGGAACCCTCATTGACGCAAGAACATCGCTGATCGCCAAAGGTGGTTCAATAATTGTCACACAGGCTCCAGTGCCATGTTTTTCCGTTTTTCTCAGAGATATGAGGAATCCCTGAACGTAGATTGGAGATGTAAAGGGGTCCTAAACTTGTATTAACATGGACAATCCATGTTCGTCTTAAAATGTTCAAGATTCAGTCAGAATTGATTACTGATAAAAAACAATGCAGGATGGTTTGGACGTACGCGCTCGCAAGTGATAGCAACAACAGCCTGAACGCCCGGCGTTGCAGTCTCCATAGGCCGCTTGGTGTCTGTCCGCGGCCGTGGCACTGAGCGATGGCCAATAAGCAAATGAAAAAGATGATGCATCTTGAGGTCCATGGCTGGTGAACTAGGTAAATCAGCATGCATATTTAAATGTGGTGCAAGTGTAAACTAAACACAACCTTCCATCTGAAAAGTGTAAGGGGGGGGGGGGGGCGGTAGTTGACACTGCTGGCCCCTCTGCCCCCCCCCCCCCCTGTTCCTACGCCCATGACTAAGCTGCGCCGCAAGAGGTCAGTTAACAGGTGAGTGCTCGTGGTTCGAACGTAGGAAACAAGAGCTGCCTCGTTTTATGACGAGATGTTTTCAGCCGCGAGTTGACGTCACGAAACTAACCTAACGATACGTTGCATTAGTGCCTGTATGGCTATTCTGCACTCTATTGGCTATTGCATTGCTGCCCCAGCACGCCACTGCGGCCCCTGCTTCAGCGGCGGCCGGTCGACCCATCACCCGAGCGGCAGCCGGCCCGCAGGCGGCGCGACCGGCCGCCGGCTCCCAGCCGCGTCCGCCGCCAGCGCCGCCTGCCGCCCGCCAGGCGGCGTCAGCCTGCGCGCAGGCGGAGCCCGGCGCCGCGGAGCCGCCTGTGCTCTCCTTAGCTGTGCCGAAGGTCACCGGTGCGCCAGGTGAGGCGCCGCATTTGGAGTTAACTAACGACGCCCATGAAGGGCAAATTATCTGTTCATGCGTGCGGGTCGCCCAGCAGAGTGGCGCAGTGGAAGCGTGCTGGGCCCATAACCCAGAGGTCCGTGGATCGAAACCACGCTCTGCTAGTTTTTTCTGGGTGTAGTCACGTACGTTTCACCTTTGAAAACGGTTATAATTATCAGGCGAAGTTTGTGTAGTTCCACTGTTATCCGATAGCAGAGTGGCGCAGTGGAAGCGTGCTGGGCCCATAACCCAGAGGTCCGTGGATCGAAACCACGCTCTGCTAGCTTTTCTGAGTGTAGTCACGTTCGTTTCAAAGTTGAAAATTATTCTTATCATGCGACGTTCGTATAGATCCGCGGTTACCCGCCAGAAGAGTGGCGCGGTGGAAGCGTGCGGGGCCCATAACCCAGAGGCCCTCGCACGGCCCTCGCGGCGCCGCACGCGCCTCCCGTCCGCGGGCACCGTGTCCCGTCCAGCGCGCCACCACCGAGGACTATCCGAGTCCTGCGGTTCAGCCAGCCCTCGGGCACCGGCGAGTCTTCGGAGGAGGAGGAGGCACCAGCGGCGGAGACCGGCAGCGGCCCCGGCTCGGACGGCGGTGTGAGACCGACGGGTGAAGTGGACAGTTTCGTTCATGACGCGCATGTCGCACGGGAGCCGGATCGCAGGAAACCAACAACCGGAATCGTGAGGTTCAAAGTGTGACATCCATGTGCGTAAGGCACTGCAGTCTGCGCACGCCGATGACAGGACAATTAAGGGTTTTACCAAACGCTACGACAGTTCCAAGCGGACAGTGTGTATGGGGAGGCCCGGGTGCACCTAACTAAGCACTTGAGTAGTGAGCTCCTGAATCCCGAGTGTTTCCGGAACGCTGTACCGTTGATGGCTCGGTCATGCCAGCGCCTGTAGGTGACCCAAGACGTGACAAATCCGAAAACGACCTTGTTCACTGCATTTGACGATGACTAAACGTCAACAAACATCAAGAGCTGACATGGCGATAAGTGCTCAGTAATGTCCGGACTGATCTGGCGGAATGCACTGGCGGGGGGGGGGGGGGCGCATGGCACCGCAATGACGTGGACGCCAACCAATAAAGCTACCGCCAAATCCCGGCATTTCTATCCCCTCGTTTCCTTTGAGCACCTTGAATATCGTTGTTCATCCCGGGTACAGTATGTGCAGTAATGAACATACCCGACAGGCTTCGCTGAAATTCGACGCCGAGGTCCATTGTCGTCCATTTGCCAAACCCTAACAAAAACGAACCCCCATCCAAATTCTACGGGTCTGTCCCAGGCTTCTCCGCATAGGAACCTCCCAGGAATGATCAGAGTGATCATCACGCGCCCTCCGCCACAGCCACCGAATAAAGGTGACGTCAACCACGGCGCCAGCTGAGCTGCCTTACGCACATACCGCCGCTGATCCCCACAGTGGTACAGCCTGGTCACGACTCGCCACTCTCGAGCCCGTTAGTTACGACTCATCTGCCGCGAATGGCAGCACGTTTGGTCGACGGAATCGTTCAAACCCGGACCGTCCACACCTTCGTCGCGAAGCCCGCCCCGTTGGCTTGCAGCCCCTCCTCCGGGCAGGGAGCCTGCACACCCACGGACCAAACCGCACGAGGCAGACGCGGACCACTCCCGCGGACTTAACTGGCTGCCCCCTCCCCACGGGCAGGTGCTGGCGGGACAATCGATGGTCGGGGGGGGGGGGGGGCGGCACGCAGGCGTCAGCTGCACCGCTTCTCTTCGAAGGCTGCGCACTGGCCCTCCGGAGGAGGCGCTTTTCATCACAGGCGTCACTACAAAACCAGACAAGAGCGCAGGCACTGACTTCGCCTGGGCATCCACAGGAGACCAGTCCGCAGACCCCTTCATCATCATCAACCATCATCCTCAGACAGCGGCGTCAATCATATCAGGCAGCATATCTCGCCGGTCCTCTGACATCTTCACCACCATGAGGTATCATCATCATAAACGGCAGGCAACACCATCATCAGGCAGCACCTCATACCAAGTTGACAATCGATCACCGCCCATAGACAGATACTTCAGCCTGTCGCGGACCAGCAGGCCCTTCAGCGCTCGCAGGCGCCATCGCCGGTCGGTCCAGGTCCCCGCTCCACTAGGCAGTGCTCACAGCTCAGTGTGCTCGAACCTTCGCATGTCGGGCGGCGGCCGGTTGTACCAGCGCGCGTAGGCCATGTTGGCCACGTTCCGCGCCGCGACCACGGACATCTCCATGGCCGAGGCTGCCGCCTCCACGCTGTTCAGGTAGTACAGGTTGTCCCGCAGCGTGAAGTTGCCCAGCGGCGCGCCGACGCCGTAGCTCGGGTAGGCGAGCCACGACAGCCGTCGCTCGCGCCGCCTGGCGGCGAACAGGGCGTCCAGCTGCGGGGCGCTGAGCGGCGCGTTGGAGAAGACCTTGTGGACGGCGTGCGGCGCCTGCGCCCCGCTCACCGGCCGCACGCGGCCGATGGAGTTGAACTCGGCGCAGCCAGCCGAGCAGAGTATGTCCTCCGGGAGGGAGGAGGCCGCGAGCGCTCCCGGCCGCAGCTGCCGGCGCGCAGGCAGCGTCAACGGCCGTGCACGGCCAGACGACAGCCCTCTGGCGTGTGGTTCAGCGCCTTGCGGCGCTGAACAGGCGTAGGAGACTACTACGCGCCGACCTTATATGTCTCGATCTGGCACCACGAGAACGACGGACAGGTGGGAAGTTCTGTACACGAGGACGGTCAGGTCGAGCGATAAGTTCTGTACACGTGAAGGGCGGGCGCATGATAAGTTTTGTACACGAGAGGGACAGGTGGGTGGCATGTTCTGCACACGAGAAGGATGGGCGGGCGATGCATTATGTATACGTGAAGGACGGGTGGGTTACAAGTTCTGTCAAAAAGCCACGACCCAGCAAACAAAAACTTAACACAAATGGACCAACTAACGCCGATCAGCTTTCCTCTGCAAACACCAAAACAAAAACGCAGCCTTTCAAAACATATAGTGCCTCATTCGCAAAACAACACCCGTTAAAGACACTCCACCGCGATTGTGCCATGGCGTGTAGCGTGGGCACAATCTCACCGGCTCCACCATACGAGAGCACACTCACCTCTCCGTCCACGAACGTGACGCTCAGGTTGTGGTAGCGCCCGGGGAAGTGGAGCGGCGCCGGCAGGCCCTCCCACACGATCGGAGCGTGGTCGGCCGTCTGCGGCGCCGCCACTATCACGATGTCGAACACCTGCGTCTGCGGCGCGCCGCCGCCGTCTGCTGACGTCACCAGGTACGCGTCGCCTGCCGGGGGTCGCCCGGGCGGGGTCAGGAGGAGCCCGTGGTCAGCGGGTGTCGGGTGGAGGTGAACTTGTGTTCGGGCGTACAAGACGCTCACTGTCCAGCACAGGGAGCTCGTAAGAAAAATGGATGAATACGGCTTATGTTCCAACAGATCCTTCAAACAGGCGTGTACTGATATTTGCGTCTTTGTAAAGGAAATGGTTGTTCCTTGTAGGGAAGCCCAGCTTGTCAGAGTCAAAGCAGTCAGACATGGGCGCTAAAAGAACACGGAAATGTTATTAGATCCTCAGTTTTTTTAGCCTGATTAACATTTTCTGCCACAATCATATGGAAATTTTACAAAAACGACGGGGTTATTCACCAGTGAATTTGATTTTTTCAACGCGCTCTTTGCGTACTGTGGCGCCCGACTCCTCGACCGCTTTCACCGCCACCTGGTAGTTGCCGCCCATAACTGCAGTTAGCTCGTTTCCCGCACCCGCCAGCGCCACCATTCCTGCGGAGAGCGGAAAACGAGATAAATGTGTCTGGCAAAATCAGAATCAATCAATCAATCAATGTTCCGAGCAGCCACATTGACAGATCCAAATCGTGGCTTATTAGTGCTTATACTTTTGAGTGCTACTACTACGTCCAAGAATGCGCATCACTGACGGTTACCCGGTGTGCCCCCAATGCACTGGCACACGCTGGTTACCTAGGATTCCGGAATAGAAAACGCCACCAGCTGCCAGCTGAACAACCAATCACCGAACAACGCGAACGTTACACGGACGACCCGAGCGCCCGATGAGCCAACGAATGCGTCACACACGAGCTAACGCCCCGCGCCGCAAAACGAGCCCACCCATACATCGCGCGAACACTCCAGAGGCAGCTGAATGACGGGCGAATGCCTTGCATACCCTCATCCGCGACAAAACACCGGCGGACGTGAGCACTCACCGACGAAGGCGTGAATATCAGGCCTCTGTCCGTAGTTGGTTAGCGTGGCGGCCGTCACCATCTCGTCCACAAAGCCGGGCTGCAAGCCGCTCAGCCTGGCAACGCCGCCAGCGGGTCAGGCCGCGTCACACACGGGAGCAGGTACGTCACAGGGTCAGGCCGCATCACACACGGGAGTGGGTACGGCAGCAGGTCAGGCCGCGTCACACACGGGAGCAGGTACGTCAGCGGGTCAGGCCGCGTCACACACGGGAGCAGGTACGTCAGCAGGTCAGGCCGCGTCACACACGGGAGCAGGTACGTCGGCGGGCCAGGCCGCGTCACACACGGGAGCAGGTACGTCAGCGGGTCAGGCCGCGTCACACACGGGAGCGGGTACGTCAGCGGGCCAGGCCGCGTCACACACGGGAGCAGGTACGGCAGCGGGTCAGGCCGCGTCACACACGGGAGCAGGTACGGCAGCGGGCCAGGCCGCGTCACACACGGGAGCGGGTACGGCAGCGGGTCAGGCCGCGTCACACACGGGAGCAGGTGCGGCAGCGGGTCAGGCCGCGTCACACACGGGAGCGGGTACGGCTGCGGGTCAGGCCGCGTCACACACGGGAGCGGGTACGGCAGCGGGTCAGGCCGCGTCACACACGGGAGCAGGTACGTCGGCGGGCCAGGCCGCGTCACACACGGGAGCGGGTACGGCAGCGGGTCAGGCCGCGTCACACACGGGAACAGGCACGGCCGCAAAGACATAATCTCGGCGCGACGCTGCGTTGCCTTGGTAACGAACAGCGACGCGCGGGGCTGTAAATCGTCAGCTGTAGTTTATAAACTCGAAGCTCAGCGCCTATACGTCTGTTTTGCTAGTCCACGTGGGCAGCTGAGCGGCTCTGTCCACAAAGAGGCAGGGCCTCTCGTCCCCCACTGCTGTTCTCATGCAAACGACAGGCCGAAGTGTTTGAGCTATCCCTTGTACTGCTGGTTAGTTGAATTGCTATTGAACCAACCTCTCAAGAACCGTGAAACCACTGAGGGAGGACCCAGTTATCGTGGAACACAGCGGAGACAGAGTAAGTGCGTATTACCAGCCATGATTTGGTCCCTTGTTGTCCACAAACTCACCACACAGTTCATGTTATCCACCCAAACAAGGTGTCAAAAATGTCACTCATCACTGATGAATTGCACTGCTTACTTGAGGTACTGTGAGAGTGGAAGGCCCATCAGCTTGATCAGACTGGGGTCCATGGCCATTATGAGGTCTTCCACGGTGTCGTAAGCCGCGCCCGAGTCCAGCAGGTTGTAAATACTGACGACAGATGGCAGCGTCAACCACACGTTGGTTGCATATGCTAACGGCAGATGACACATGCAGCTAAACTAACATGCAACTAACGACAGACCGCTTAGGTCATGAGCGATGCGGTCACACCACCCCCATTGATGTACACAGAAGACAGCAAACTATCGATACGGAAGAACCGGAAGACACGCGAAAATGAAGAGGGGTTTCCTTCAGAGAACTGCAAATGGGCCCAGCTGGCGCAAAGGTGAGCAATGCCCAATTATCTACAAGCGAGTTTCCGGGGTTTTCGTATAGATTCTTTCCTGTGCGATACTTGCTGATTATTTCGAAAAACTTTCGCGGAACATTCGGAATCAAATGTTTACCCAGTGTTCAGGAAATATTGACCGCACACTTTGACGGTCACATAGTTACACGCCGTGTCGAAACGTTTCCAGCGACTCTGAGCTCGAAGACCCATCGAAGCCTCTCACAGCACCCAAGCCTCTCCCACCACGGCTGATTCAGGCGGCGCCACCAACGGATCACGGGGGGGGGGGGGGGGAGGGGCAGAGGGCACGGAACGTCCACTCTTTCCACGCAACGCCAGTCCACGCCCCTCCCCACGGCGGCAATCCTGACAAATGTCCCGCCTCCACACCTGCTGAACTTGAGCAGCATGGCGGACACCAGCCGCTGCAGCTTGATGACGTCGTAGCCGTAGCGCCAGAAGAGCTTGGCCATGGTGACGAAAGACCAGCTGGAGCTGACGAAGAGCAGCTGCTGGCCGTCGCAGAGGCCGAACGTGTCGTCCGAGTCTGGTCTGCGCTGCAGACCTGGCGGCGACGGGACGGACGTAGCCGAATGGATTAAGACCTTTGGTTTAAGACCAAGAGGTCAGGGGTTAGATCCCCGCCGCGGGAATCTTCCATCTACCCTATAGTTATATATATATATATATATATATATATATACATATGTATATATACTTCTTTGCCTTAGGACGCAACACCTACGTTGATTATTGCCATTCGGCTGTTGTTTTTGCTACAAAGCGGCCTGGCGGTCCGAAGTATGAAACAAAGTACAGCGAAGTGCCACCATGGTATAGTCTCAGGAAGACCACATGGCAAGCCAAAGGGGTGTGGGGGGGGGGAGAGTAAATTGTATAGGCATTGACTGGCCTGGGTTGAGCTTTTACTGGGGAACCTACGTGACCTGGGTTTGTAAAGTCTAGAAACTCAACTGTGGCAGGGGACGGGTTGGTATTGAGGGAGGGAGGGGAGGGAGGGGAGCGGGGACGGGGGGGGGGGGGGGCGTCGTCTGAGGAGTAGGGACAAGCCCGTGGCTGAGGCGTGGGACAGCCAACCCGCAGTCGTGCCTGTGTCGGATGTGCTACACCGCTGCTGTCTCCGTCCATCATCATGATTTTTTCAACAGCGAGAGCGTTACTGACGACCAACCAACGAAAAACACGCATGCACCACGACCGACAAAAACACTCGGTGAAAACACGTGCCAGTACGTGTGCGCATGTTCGCAAAACATCGTGCGTAAGGGCTGCAAGAGAAAAGGAGGCACGCAAGAGGAGTACGTGAACGCGGGACATTTTTATACAGCAGCGCGGATGTGCGAGTGACGGTAACTCCCAACGCAACCACAAAGAGCACTTACCGAATTTATCAATAAAATCCATCATGTACTTGTTCTTGGTATGTATGATAGAGGCTCCAGACTCGAACCTGGGCCAAAATCGCCATGTGAGCGGTCGATAGCAAAGAATGAGTCGTTTCTTAAATTCAATATCTTCAAAATTTTGAAAATCACATTAAAAACCCTTAAGGCTTAGTGGATAACCCTGCATAAACACCAAATACCAAAAGCCTCTAGTTTCACCCAGTGCAAGTCCTCGAACCTCTCATATTCGCAGATCTCAGACATAATCTTTACTTATCACTACAGCATTCCAAGACCGACTTCACCGACCAGTGGTCGTTGACCTCCTCCATGTCCAGGCGGCCGCCGATTCTGTTCTGTTCATACAACTGAATGTCGGCGTCCTCCTTGAACAGCTGACGGACAAAGTAGGCGGCCGAGGCCCCGCCGATGCCACCTCCGACGATGCCTGCAGTGCGTGACAGGGTTACACAGGCACCCTGTCTGGGGATCCCACAGCCATCCCATCCCCAGCCACTTCTCTGGTGTGCTGATGTTCTTCAGCAGGGCATTAACAAGCAGAGGGGCATGCTCACAGACCTGATGTCATGTGACAGCTTGAGTCTGCCATGTACTCTGTCATACATAGTCTGTCATATAGTCTGTCATATGGACATACCAGCTAGACAACCCTATGATGAGCATGTTGTGATGAAAAATGTCAGAAAATGTCAGAAAATGTTCTCTGTCATGGGGGCAGCCCACTGTTGCGCAGTTTCTATTTGAGACAGCATCCACCAGAGAGATAAGGCTGGATAAAACACAATGGCATTGTGCCATCTGGAATGCTAGGCATGATTTGTAATTACCATGCCTTGATATGATGTGCGTGATACTTCAACAAAGGAAAATGACATTGTGAACTCTGGTCATAGTGTGATTACTTGCCTGTGGCATCTACACATTGTATCCACACTTATTGCATCTGTGGCATCCACACACATTAATACTCAGGCTATAACAAAGGATGATTTTCCAGTGGCAGTCAGCCAGTATATGTGGTAAAGAGCAAACACAACTACATTTTCTGAGTATTCCACTTTACTGATTTCACCATGCATTCTGTCCCAACCATTGAACAAAGTAAATATAACTTATATGCAGACCAATGAAATGCAATTTTACAAAAACTTCTCATGTTAAACTCCCCTAGGTTTTTCTGAAAAGCGGCCACTGATGAAAGCTGTCATGTAGAGAGCTCTCCCCTGCTATCAATGGGCGGTGATGATTTAACAGCTATCCTTTTAACATGCATGGAAAAGCCCACAGACATGCAGCAAGCATGAGTCAAATGCATTGATTGTCAATGGTTATGTGGTGCTTAGATCAGATAAAGGGATGCATTATGTTGGCACACTATAGAGCAGCATGAGTAAAATTGCTTGCATCATCAGTCATGTTTCTCACACCAAATTATAGCACAAAACTTAGAATGAACTTACCAACTCTGACAGCTGAGCTGCAGATGGCTGACATAATCAACACACATCCTGCCAGATGTATATCATTCATGATTGAGGCACCTAGAACACAGCATTTGTAAGTTAAACAAATCAGTGGGTGATGAGTGAGTGGTAAGGACTTATGGGCAGTCTTGCCAGCATGGTCAAACAATGGTAAATAGTTAACCATGATGAATATTCATGATAAATGTACATGAATATATATATATATATATATATATATATATATATATGTTCTGGAACATACGTCAAACACTACCCGCATTAAGACTCAACAGACTGCATTGATCACAGGTAATGTCTCTGAACCATAACCTCACTACCTCCTCAACTTGCTAGCTACATGAGTGTATTGCTAGCTACTTGCTAGCTTCTTGCTAGCTACATGTCATTTTAGCAGAAAATTTCGAAACATTTTGTTTTCCAAATGTCTTGTCACTGTTGATGATGCTGAACTGAAGTGATACAACTACAAGTAACATCAGCATCACTCAACTTAGAATCAAGATTATTTCCAGCAGAAATTTGCTACACAATAATAAGCATAATATTGCACAAATGCCAAACTTATTTTGTGCCACACTTACACTTTCATTTCAATTGTTAGCATACGAGAGCCACTTATCAAACAAATAGTTGTTACAATTGTACCGAACTTGTGGAACGCAACGTCTTTAAGAGCCACGCCACTGCCTCACACTTAAGTAATTCCAAAATCAATTCCTGTCGAAATGACCGCTGATTCCATTGCTATGTACCTGTGTACGCACCTAAGTGTAGGACTCCGCGGTTATCTGCAATTGTTTAACTACCAACTAAGCGTCACGTTCAACAACGGATATAAAATGTAAAGGAAACATTCCCAAAACACCGCAAGCCAGAAACGTCTGAGTAGCGCGGCAAAGGGGCCACTACCATATTGAATCCACATCCGGCCGTATAAAAGAATTTGGAGGGAATTCTTGCATCATATCAAAGGAAGCAATCTGAACTCGGGGGTAAGCTTATATATCTGAGATAAGTTGGTTACAAAACTAACATCTGCATCCGCGCGGCACTCTAGCTATGTGTGTTCTAAAGATACATGGTAAGTTATGTTTATTTTGGGAAAACATATAACTGAAAATTACCTGTTCTGCAAGACGTACGCCTCGACCCAAGGCGAACGGTTTGCAGAGCCGCGCGCTGCACTCAAGGCCGTAGAACAGAGGTCCTAGGCTGCATTTCCGCCAATAAAGATGTGGCACATGAACAGTAGGTGCGGAATGCATGTTTGGCCCTAATGATGCTCAGCAGTTCTGTAGAAGAACCCATAGACGTAAGAACGGGGGGGGGGGAGTCCAAGGGCGTCACGACGCACCCACTTTCCGAGACTGCTGAGCATTAGCTGTATGGTGGCGCATGGAAAGAATCGACTAAAAAATTGTTTTGGTGCCCCAATCTCTGAAATATCCCTCCGCCTATGACAGACAAATGACTGTCGTCATGTGGTGCGTAATTTCACTTTTCCTCGACTTTACTTTATGGCATGGTGTTGAAATATAAACATAAGCAAAGATATGAAAAAGTCCTAGGGATCGCAGGGTAATCTTATTTCGGTCGTCGAATGGCCTAATGATATCCGCGATCCACCAATGAAGTCCAGACATGGGCTGAATCAGAAGCGCGGGAATCCCGGAGCGTGCGCGATAAAAGACGTCGGCAACAAAACTGCAGAGACCAGCCGCCGAGCGCCACACAAAGCTCACCGAAAACATACCATGCAGAGGGAAACACTGTTGACCGTCCTGGTGACTCATGTACCCATTTGTGCTTCCCTTGGCCGGTATTGGCTCTGTGACTTCGCACGGCAAAAGAGAGTGTTCAATGTGTTTGATTCATGGACGCTAGAAGCAATATCAGTATAAATTCATCGGCTTCGTCAGCTGAAATTACTCGGCCTGGGCATAGCACTGACCAGACAATTACCAAGCCATATGCGTTTTGTGAATGAGTACACGAAGCCTGTGACGCGGAATCGCTGTCCACTAAACTCTCATGACAGGTAGACTTCCCAAGACAATAATCAAAACCATTCATGGGTATTCCCAAATGTATTTGCCTCCATCAGAGTAAGCTTTGTGATAGTGACGTCATGGAAATTGGATGATTGCCGTAATGACAATTGATAATGCTCACCATGTGTGTAAATAGCTTTTCAAAGTCAGCTGGGTAGGGATGTTGAGCTGAACAATGAAAATCTTGCGCAATTGGCTTCCAAAATTCACCAACAAACGAATCTTTCCACGGATTCGGTCACTTCCTTTTCAACTTGGGGAAGGGGCTGCAATTCAAGATGGTGAGGCTACCCCCCCCCCCAACCAAGCTAAAAATGAAACCAACCCTGAGAATTCCGTTGTTATTAACTCCTAAATTTCACTTCGCACAAAATGTCTCGCTAAAATAACTACAAAATAAAATAAATAAAATAAGATAATAATAATAATCTTTTGATGGTTTCTGGACGCGGGGCCAGGCAAATATTTACGGAAAAGAGCGCTATGCACCAATTACCGTCGTCATTTTTTGCATGCAATTATTTCGCCAGCGAAACACTTGCCCTCTCTTAATACCACAATTCGGATTCATCGAATAAGACACGTAGCGCATGTTTATCTCCCGACAACAGATCAGCTGAGATGCATGCGACGACGCGTTGACAAGAACGGCCAGACCCCGACTGGACACTCATCACGTCTCGAAGATTGAGGATCACTCAGGTTGCGGGGAAATTTGGAGAATTTGGGGGAGGGGGAAATAGAGGGCGCTTATTCCTCCGCTCCACCGTTCCAAGTGGTAACCATAATACCTTCGGCTCGGAACGGGGCGTACCGCCTCGCCCACCAAGAACTCTGGAACGGCGGTCCCCGTCAGTATCAACTGGTGTTTGTTTATTCGACGGAGTGGTCACGGCTGACCCTCGCACGACCCCAGCCCATCGCTTCCAGGAGCAGTCACAGGATGTGGGGGAGGGGCGAGTCAGCGCGTGCAAAGGAAGCATCGATTGCGTTTAGTAGGAGATGGGAGCGCAGTTGTGTTAGAGGAATAATGTCATTTTCCATTGGAGGGGAGGAAACGTAGAGCACCCTTCCCCCCCCCCCCCCCCCTCCGCTCACGCTTTTCTTGCCTGTGCCGCTCCTCGGATCTTTCTCAGGCGTGCGTCGATTCGTGGGCGCTGAATTCCGATGAAGAGTTTCCATTGGGGTGTGCCTGGCCTGACCCAGCATAATGTCAAGCAACAACAGACCCCTAATGGCTCTCGTATCCACCCAATGATGGCTTGAACTGCTGCATACTTGCATACGACTGTTTCCGCCTGGTCATTTAACTCTGGAATATTGGAATGCTGGGGGCATCAGTTAAATATTCTAGAAGATTTCGGTGTTTACTGAAACTTTTGAAGAAGTAGACAAAAAGCACCTAATGTCCTCAACCCAATTAGGGACTGGTATGGTTCACGTTTTCGGGCTTTCGAGAGATTTTAAAGAAGTAGATAAAAAGCGCCTAATGTCCTCAATCCAATTAGGAACTGGTATGGTACATGCTTTCGGGCTTTAGAGAGAGTGGGGCCTGTTAAGAATTTACAGGCTTATGCTATTTTTAAACAAGAAAATTACGGTAAGTGGAAGAAAGAACAGGGGGGGATGCATAAGGTTTTACGTTTATCTCCGTAGCTTCAAATGTAGGGAACATTAAGCGGTGTGCTCAAAGCCTTCCATAGTTATTACCGCACAGCGGTAAAATATGTTCTGCAAGTACTGAAGCTTATTCCCGGCTGAAAGCATATGTCTGCATTGGCAACGTATTAAAAATGCAACATGTAACATGCTTGCATACTGCTGAGCCGGCCGCCACAGTGGTGACTGCCCCGGGACACTGAACATCAGGACACTGAAACCAAACCGGCCGCTCGGTTCCAGCTTGCACGCCTTCTAAACGCTCCGGCTGCTCCTCAAGAGCCAGACACTGACGTCACCGCGGCACCCGTCACATACCGGCCATCGCGCTTTTAACGTGCATGAGAGGCTGTGCGGCGCATGGGCCCGTGTATGCGAGAGCCCACCAGGCGGCCGCCCACGGTTCGTGTTCAGACCCGGTTCGAGCCGCTGGCGTTCCGACAGCGAGCTCTGCTTCTTCTCTGCGGGCTGTTTACGATGCGTGGCTGTTCTCTGGCGGACTGGGCCTGGATCGCTGCGACCTTGGACGGAGCTACAGCCTGGTCTCGTAGCGGACATACGCGGCAATAAGGGACAGTCGGCGGACCTGCAGGTCATCCTGAGGGCAGCTGCTCAAGCGCCCTGACCAAACAGGTAAGCCAATACACGAATGCGAAGGTTTGGTTTTGCGTGACCCCTCGGTGATCTAAACACGGGGAGGAAACCGGAGACACCAGCGGGTGTCGCGACATCGTAGCCCAAAGTCCGGTCAGGCATGCACACTGTTTGCTTGGGTCGTAGGTACGCCAAAATGGCTTTAGTAACTACCTGTTACTAGAGAATAGACGATGTGCTCAGAGAGCGTGTTTCGCAAAGAGCAGACCCTCGCAGCCGTTGTTATTGTAGGCATTGGGATACCATTTAAAGCGCAATAGGTTTGCACTAGTTATCAATGATGTGTGCAGCAAACCAATGTGATGACTCACTAGCAAACCTTTATCCTTTTTGTGACCTATCTGATAGCATCCTGCACTGCAGTCTTGCTCATGACGACCAGCGATCGCTATCAACATGTGGCTTTATAACACGCCCAGCAGATAACGGTGCTCAAACGTTGATTAATTGCAGACCTTGCCAAAGGCGGCTCTAGACAGTCCTGTCTTCCCCGCAGAATGGCTGGGGAAGTGAGGCATGCTCAAATGGGGTCGGCCCACAGCGGCAGTTCGTGCGCCCATGTACGAAAAACCCACCATCCTCCCCGAAACTATATGCGTTACACCCGACTCCGTCGTTCCCGGCGTCAATGTGACCTTTGGCCTTGACTGGGCCAGATTACCGCGATAGTTGGACCGTTGATTACCGCTGTTTGTCGCCAGCAGGCGCAGGCGCCCGAGTGCTGCTGGAAAAACAGAGGCAGGTGCTGTCCTGCGCTTCCCTGCGTTACGCTTTGTGCCGGCGCAAGCTAGTGCTCTGTGTGCGCGTCGCATTGGTAAGTTAAGCTAGTCTTTGGTTGTTTGTGAAATTCACAAGGGTTACATATTACAGGCTATGGCTGTTGGCACGTACCACCTCCATAACATGGTTGTCATATCTTGTCGTAAGGGGCCTGGCCATCAATATTGCACGCTCTTGTGACAAAAAAACAACACACTAATAAGTTGTTTTAAGACACTTTTGAAAGGAGGAGCTCTGCATTTTCTGCGCGCGTAACACTTCTACGGCATGCATTTTCGCGTAGCTTATATCACTTAATGCCATAGCTAAATACGTGTCTGCTCTACCGATGCTACATCATGCTCAGGTAAGATCCATTGCCCACAATGTATCGTTTCATGCTGCATTCTAGATCGACGACACTCGATTAAAAGTGTGTTATTATTGCATGGCACTGTGAACGGACTGCAGTGACGAAAACGTACCGGCCATAACAGGTGCCAAGGGTCTGCCACTAGCCAGCTGTTGGACCCCGTTGTAATTTTCCACGGCTCAAGCCAGAGAATCGTTAAATTTGCGCCACGCTTTATGCGTCTCTAATGCGACGTGTTGTTCACGCATTGTCGGGTATCAATAAAAGTAGCTCGGAATGCAGAAAAAAAACAATCACGAAGCGAAATGCCTGAATATGTTATTTGTTATATATTTC